GAGTTTGGTCAGATCTCGCCTAGAATATGGGTCACCAATTTATAATGTCCAGGTTGATAGAGTCGAGTCCATTCAGAACAAATTTGCCCGTCACATGAAGTACAGACTGTTCAAAGGTGGAATAATATTAATGCCCGTATGCACCGTTTTAAAGCCTAGTTAGCAAATCGCGATTATGTTAATCTTTCTCCATCATAATGCACCGTACGCGGATTGTGCAATATGGATTGGCGATTTGGCAACGCAGTTTTATTTGTCAAAAAAACTGTAAATCATAAATTGAAATCGATTGACAACCATATAGAAACAAACTATGTTGACAAACTAAAATTTAAATTTTGTTATATGCCTAATATACAATAATTTTTATATAGACAAATTTTGTCTGTCTATAAAATGGGAGACCAGAATTCCTAACTTTTCACCAGCGGAAAAAGAAAATCTAATGATGATTGCTATGAGGTATTCAAAAAAACTAACAGAACTGGGCTTCAATATTCAATTTCATTAAGAAAGTTTAGAACGGTGGGTTTATAGTCAATCGAAATCGGCGAAAAAATGAAAAATTGTCCCTGGTGTCAAAATATTTGCTCCTTTCATAATTTCGTCGCGGAAATCCAAAATTAATTATGTCCAGAATATCTTGATCATCTTCTACAAATAGTTCTTTTAAATCCATGATTTAATTATACTAGCTCTTGAAATCCACTACAACGAAAGCCCAACTAGAGATGCGACTTGAAAAAAAACGGTCCGTTTTTTTTGTTTTTTTTTTCATTGTTTTTATTCAAATGGTTTTTTTCACATTTTAGGTTTTTTTTCAAGATTAGTCCCATTTGCCTAATTTTTTATGTTTCCATGGACTAAAATTAGCCACTAAATCACAATTAGTAAATGTAAATACAGTCTCGCGCTATGCACGCGCCACCACCACGGAATGGACCAATAAGGGCCGCGCTTGTTTTGATTTGGTCCTAAAAAAGTAACTACATATAATATTTTTGATTCAGCGCTTGAATTTCAAAAAGCTAGCAAAAGCACTTTGTTCATGTTTTTTCAAATTTATGTAGAGTATGGAATTTTTTTTTCCAAAAAAACAATAGCAAATTCTTCACTGTTCAAAATTTTAGCTAATTTTTACCTAAAATATTAGACTATATAGGACCATTGATTTTTTAAGGCAAACTGCTTGAAATGAATTCAGAGGAATATTCCCCTTTTAAATTAGTGATTTCTTTAACTGATATTTTTAAAGAAAATGATATAATTAATTAAGCAAAATTACTTCAGATAATACACCCTAGATCGTAAGGGATATTGCCTGAGAATAAAAGAATAAATTTCCTGTTTCTAAGGCAATTTGCTTAAATTTTTAGGTAGATTTTAGCTAATTTTTCAGGCAAATTATATATATATTTAGTGAAAATCCTAGCATAGGAATTTTCTTCTAAGTTGGGACTCCTTTATCTTTGTGTCCTAGGCGAATTAACAACGGCGGTTCCGGTACTACATGTAGTACCGGAACCACAGACCTACAAACAAGATGGACCGGTTTATTTACATTGAAAAGAGTGGCCAGGAACAAAAATAAATATTTTCCCTCAGTTGTCACATTTGACTTTGAAGTTTCTATATTTTAGGTAAAAGATACTTGGAATCCACAACATTTAATATTTTTTATTTGATTTTATAGTGAAAAATACCAATAGTGAGTGATATAAAAATGGTGAAGCAGCGTTTGTAAAAGACTTGGATCCAAGAATTTAAAACTTTCTTTTCATAGGTTAGTTTATTTACAAAACAAACCCTGCCAGGAGCGTAGAAACTGAATAAATAAATGAATTCACTTAAATTTTAGATTTAAAGAGCCAGATTCTACATCATCTGGAACGGGTGACATTCACAATATCGAAATTCAATATATCGAATTCAAAATATCGAACACTTTTTATCGAAAATCAAAATATCGAAAATACAAAATGTCGAAAATCAAAATATCGAAAATTCAAAATGTCGAAATGAAAATATCGAAATTTTATTTAATCGAATTTTCAATTTATCGAAAATAAAATCTCGACCGCTGTCATACAGGTTATGACGAATAGCTGTCATCTTGGTTATGCAGGTACACTGCATTGTGCCATACCAAACCAACCCAAACTTAACAACCCAACCCAACCGACCCCGCCCCATTGGGCCCCTCCCGCCCCATTGAGCAATAGAGGTATAATATATCTAAGGGCAGGCTGGATTGTGACAATGGGGCGGGAGGGGCCCAATGGGGCGGGGTCGGTTGGGTTGGGTTGTTAAGTTTGGGTTAGTTTGGTATGGCACAATGCAGTGTACCTGCATAACCAAAATGACAGCTATTCGTCATAACCTTGAGGAATACTTTGCTACATTTAGCCTCTAGTTGAAAATGAGGTTAAAATATGCAACGGTTGAGCACACACATTTCTACGTCCGTCCGACGGTCGAGCACACACTTTTCTACGTCCGTCCGACGGTCGGGGAGACACTACCTTTAATTATTCGACATTTTCAAATCGACATTTTAATTTTCGATATTATCATTTTCGACATTTTGAATTTTCGATATTTTGATCTTCGACATTTTGTATTTTCGATATTTTGATTTTCGATAAAAAGTGTTCGATATTTTGAATTCGATATAATGAATTTCGATATTGTGAATGTCACCCATCTGGAACACTAACTGACAAGGTTAGTATTTTGTTATACCTATATATTTATATATATTAAATATAATTTTTACATAGGATTGCAAAACACAATAAAAAATGTACAATTTAATATTTTTATTTATCCCTAAAAACAGAATGACACTGGTGTGGGAACTTGTTTATAAATACCCCTTACCCCTTTACCCCTAATCTAAATAGTTCTTGGCAACAAAACATTGTGTATTTTGAATAGGAAAGGCCAGTCCATTTTGTTTGTAGGTCTGTGACCGGAACCCTTTAAATAATCCCAACCCTGCAGGGTTGGGATTATTTAAAAATATATTGGGGTCAATGGGAAATTCCATTTAGTTTGGATTACTGAACTATAGCACTACAAAATGTTCACTTATATCACAATAATTGTTAATTATGTTGTTATATCAATAGCACACAACGCGGTCTTTAAGCTTTCGTTGATTTTGGCTTTATGGTCGACAATATACCTAGGCGCGAATATTTATCGTAAAACGTCGGTATTAGCGATCGTAGCCGATTGCAAGTAAGTCACTAATATTTAAAGGAATTTACCTAAATTAGTTCAATAATTTGCCATAATAATTTAGAAGAATTACCTAAATTAAAAGCAAAATTTTCGTACCTAAAAGTAATTGAGATTTTGACTAAATATTTAGGTAATCTGCCTATCTTTTTAAATTTGACAAGTTTATTAAGTAAAGTATGAATATTTATCTAGAAGTTAGTGAATACACCATAGAACTAAGGCATTCGTTTCTGCCTTCTCGAGAAGGTAAATTGCTTTAATCGTTTAAGCATATTACCTTATTTTTCCTTAACTAATTCTGATTAGGTATTTCAAAAGGCTTGATTTTGAACAGTGTTGTAGAACATTTATTCATTTGTGGTCAGAACATTCCGTGTACCAAAAAAGAAAGCAAAAAAAATCGATTTTTTTTTTATTACGGTATTCGTTAGAATTGAGCGTTGCACGTTTATCATCTAAAAATCTCAAAACTATAAACTTCAAGCTTCAAATTGCTTTTTTTACGGCTCCAATACGACCATTTTTAACAAAGATACAGCTATCCGAAAAATCGCAAAAACAATTTTTTTATCCTTAAGAAGTTTTACATAGCTATTGGTTTTTAATGTGGAAACTACCAAATAAGAAATCAGATTTTTTTAGTCTTGGTCAAAATTTTCAATAATGAAAAATGTAATATATTCTACATTTAACTCAAAATTTTATTTTGAAAAAAAACAAAAAAAACCGTTTTTTTTCTAGGTTTTTTTCATGTTTTTTTTCACATCTGAAAAAAAACCGTTTTTTTACATCTCTAAGCCCAACCCTAACCAAACTAATCAATTTGGTTAGAAAATCAGTTAATCCTGCGATTAAACCTACCTCGCCGGTGAATCTCGTAATCGAACACTTAAACTACATTTTTTGCGCGGTGCATGACAAACTTTCGAACTAAGCGAGATTAAACTCTTAATCGAGCTTAAGTCCATACGGTGCATACAGGCATAATTACTCAGGATACCCTGATATATTTAGGCCTAAGCTCGCTCAGGTGGCGTAGATTTAATAAGGATGCTTCCTTTTCAAGGTTTTTAATGGCTTGATACAATCGTTAGAAATACTGGCTTCTTTTAACCTAAAAATACTGACGAGGGACTCTATGCTATTAGAAATTCCCAACTGTCGCACAGTATATGCCAGTAATTCTCCATTGAGTCGGTTTTCCAGAATATGTAACAGTTTCTCCCCAGTAAACTTTTTTAATTGCTCTTTGGCATCCTTTAAAACCCAGCTTAATTCCCTCAATGGTCATTGATTGCTGGTGAGGCAGACTAGGCAATAATATTGTGATGTTTGTACCTGATATAACATATCATATTGTATTTATTTTTATTATTACTAGAATTAATTTAATTTATTTATTTTGTAAACCTTTGTGTAACTGATATTTAGCGTTATTAAACATTATTATTATTATTATTTTACAAGATAAAATATTAAAAACTTTGATTTGAATTTTTTAAAAATTTTATATAGGTATAAATTATTAGTATTTAACGGAACTATATTTTTTATGACAAAAGCTAAAATTAGGTAATATTAAAAAAAAATTATACATGCAATAGACAATGTTTTACCCTACATAAACCACTAAACCTAAACTATGATTTGGGTTGGTATTTTGGTTAGTAATTTAAAAATGTTAATTATTATTACAAAAGAATACTTAAAAAACACTTGTTTGTTAATTTACAATAATAAAAAATAATGCTTACAATCAATAGATGGATTTGCAAGTAATCTATGAGGGACACCTAATTTCCAAGGTGCCACTCCAAAATTATATTTCAAACAAAGAGATCCATTTAAGGATCTGACCTCATCAATAATATGCTTTACACTTTGGCCTAATCTAACTTGTTCTTGTAAAACAGCTGAAATATCTATGCCACAAGTCTCTAATACTGTGCTTCGGCATTTCATTAACATTTGTTTATTGCTAAGATTCTCTTCTTTATTTATAATTCCACATATTTCTGACATAATTTTGATTGTTTTTATATCAAGTTCCGATATAACATCACAGCATCCTAAATAAAAAAGAAAATATAGAAAGGGTTGTTTATGTTTATCAATGTTTAATAGGGGTGATTTGTTTAGAAATTAATAAAGTAAACATATTTGAAATGTCTGCTATAAGTTATGCAATTTCATCATGTCTTCATAAACCCCTTGAAGGTGTAGTGTTTTTAACTTTGTTTTAATTTTAAAAAAATTGACGCCTTTAATAAGCTGTGATTAAAAACCATTATACTTCTTTTTGTGGAGTTATATGTTGATGAGAATAAACCATTGAGGTATTATAATGGTATTTTAAATATGTTTACATAATTTATTATGTGTTTAATGTTAGATTCATTCTTGCAGAAGAATCAGAGGCGGTTTTTTAACTAATGATAATAATTGCATTGATGACATTTCGAAATAAAAATAAATAATTTGTTCTAGCTATGGTAGCTAGGCTATTTGCCTAGGTTTTATTTTAATTTAAGGCGAATTTATTGAAAAACCTTTTTGGAACTATTTTAATGTAAATAAATTTGTCTGAGTCAGTACTAGGGGTGTAAATCCCGAGCCATTTTTCTAATCCTGGGACTTTCGGGACCAAGATAACTAATGCCGGAATCAGTCCCAAAAAATCACAAATCTTTAATTATAAAACTACATTAATATAAACAAACAAACAACAAATTTTGGACACCAGTTGGTGAAACCTCCTTTTTATTATCATACTTTATTTATTTGTTGCGTATGCGAAATCAAGGTGCAGTAACCCACACAATAACCTTTTTCGCCGGTTATTCCATCTAGTAAACGATTAACCGTTTAGACCGTAGTTTTAAAATAGTTTCAAAACCCAACCCACACAATAACCTTTTTTGTCGGTTATTCCATCTAGTAAACCGGTTAAAACGTAGTTTCAAAATAACCTGTAATAACCGGTTAACTGCAAGAAGAATAATAGAAGAATAATCATACGTATAATAATTGCCAAACTTTGGGTGTTTTCCTTTGAACAAACATTGAGCATTAATTGATACCTACCATTGGCCAATGTTTGCACATTGAACTACTTAGTTGTCCAATTATTAGGCAATTGTGGAGCAACTGTTTTGAGTACTCTTGAATGTTTATAAATATACACTTTATCTTTGATTTTTATTTATTAATTTAAGGCATTACAAAAAAAATGTTAAAAGCATAGTTCTGTTACTTAAATACAGTAAATTATAATTTAACGGCAAAATGAAATAAAAAAATATTATAATTTAAATTATCGCCCGCCTATCAGCCATATGTCATTGATATCAACGCTAAAGCGACAAAATCTAATTAATTACACAATTATTTTTGATTCTCGTATCATGTGAGTGCCTAATTCTTTTTTTGTGCAGCACAAATTTTTTCTTTGTATAAATATAAACTTTTTGTCAAAATTTCTATTTATAGGTTAAGGGGTTTGGACATATAAAAATATAGAAGTAAATATAATTGTTGTAACCTTTATAAGTTTTACTGTTGTAAATACAAATACAGGTACACATTAAAGTCCCACCAATTGATTTGATTAAAAAAATTAACGTTAATTTTCTGTCAGAATCAAGCTAATTTCATCCTATTTTTTGAAAATAATGCAATATATGTATTGTTTGTGTATAAAGGTCTTAATTTAGAACACGAAAAATACATACCGTAAACACGGGTGGCTTTGCACCCCGCGGGTGACTTTAACCCTTTTATGAAAAATCGCGCTCGATAAAATTAACATTTATAATTTGTTTGTCTAAACCTGTCAATTGAGCGATTCTATTGAGTTTATATTACAGGAAAATCAGTGTTTTAAAGAAATAAATGAAATTTATTACACTTTAAAATTGTATATATTGCATCAGTGCAAAACTCTTAGAAATACACGCGTTACAATTTCTATATTATGCGCAATCCTTTGGAATGATGATCCTTAGTTAACTACAGGTCGATTTTTTATTTTTTTTATCGGTAATCCCTTGCAATCGCTATATGTCGCTGCTAACATGTGTCTAATAAAAATAAAATAAAATATTGAGTTAATTTTATACGGAAAATACTCTGTGGGACAAAGTTACCCACAACCAAACCCAGTTTTTAATTTTTATTTTATGTAATATTATAACATAGTTATTATGAAAGAGCAACTCAAGGCTCAAATTTTGGTATGCAATATTTAATTTTTATGATTGTTAAAATCACAATAATTTTAAGTTTAAAAATTGAGCTAAAGCCACCCGTGTTTACGGTATATTTATTGAGTATGAGTATGAGTATGAGACGTATAACCAGCCCCATTTCCTCTTGACTCTCGAACCCCGCACAGGCCTATGTTTACTTACGCCGATTTTTGTTCTTCCCCAGCAACTTCACGGCTTCACCCGTGTTTGCTGGGTGCGAATGTCCATTGCGTTCCGTAATGTCTCCTATTTGGGGCTCGAGAGCAAGAGGCGAATAGTTATAGTAGCCGTTCCCGGGTTCGCCGGGCCTATGCTATACGCTCAGTGGGGTATGGAGAAGGGACGGGAGGGTGTTGGTTTTTGGGGGACAATTACGCCGACTTAAAACTAAGTACGACGCGGAATCCCCCTAGACCAGTCGATTAATATTACTCCAAACATTTGGGATTACTATTTGGAGTTGGGGGGTTGTTATTACGCTGCAGGGTGTAGTCTCCTAGTCGAGGTCTTCGTCTTGTTCATTATTGTCATAATCCGTGTCGGATAGTTCCTGAACTTGGTAAAGTGTGTCGTTTGTTTTTTTTTATTTTGTTTTTATTGTTGCTTAGTTGCTCCCAACTGTTCTTGTTGATTTGTGAGAAGTGTATGTTTTGTGCTAACGTGTCATGAAATGTGAAGCATGGTCTCCCGACTTTTTTGTCTTTTAGATCTAGTTTAAGGGTGGCTTGTAGTATGTTATTGCGTTGTCTACGTCTGAGGCGGCTAGTATTGTTTCCAGTCCGGCCCAGAAGCCGTAATTACCGTGGTCGTTTAGGTACGCATTAATTTGTCCTGTTTTGTCACTTATGTGTTCATAACGACTGCTTAGTTCATTTATTGCGTCCTCGATGTAGGGTATGTACGTTCCTAGGTTATTACGTAAGTGGTTGTTAATATTTGTCTATTTGTCTACACTCAGAGAAATATCATGTCATGAAAAGCACATGAAACGATATTAATTCGAATAATAGGGTAAATTTGATTCAAATAGAAAAATTGTAGTTTTATTCATTTACCAACAGTTTTACAATGTTTTTAAACACTTTTAAAGTGTACTCTCTTTAAAATATATATACAAAAAGAAATCTATTTATTTAATTGCCTTTCTCAACGTTATTTTAAAAATATATGTATTATACAATTGTTATACACCTTTTAATTTAATGAGAAACACCAATGACGCCAAAACATATTTGAATCACTTGGAATTATTATCGTTTTGAATGATTCTACAACATTTTTTCTCTCAGTGTAGTGTCTGCTGTTGTTTCAGTTTCGCGTAGCGAACCTATCACCGTGTTGAACAGCTGATGTGCAATCGCTGCGATAAGGCCGTTCCCAGTGGGGGGTATCCTTTTTACTTTTACTATTAAGTCAAGTGTTTACAAATTCCATGGAGTTTGATTAGTGTGCTTTATTTTTACTTTGTTTATGTTTTCTTAGTTTATGTGTTGTTTATGACTTAATTGACAAATTTATTTGGTCTCGGTTTGTTTTACTTGAATTGTTATGTTGACAGCTTTATTGCCCTGTTCAACTTTGGTGTGTGACCGCGATCGGCTGTTTGGTTTTTTCTTGGAAAATTGACTTTTTATTTTATTGTTGCCGATACCTAATTATTGTTTTTTTTAGTAGGGATTAGGCAATGTGCCTTGTTTAGTTTAATTTGCAAATTATGTGTTAGGTCATGCTGATGATTTGAGAATACTTAGAAATATTTGCAGGTGGCCTGTTCCTCCCTTGTATGGCCTCTTTTGTTTGGCCAGTGGAAATCGTCCTGTTGACAGGTGGTGCGACCGCTCAGGCACTGACACTTGTCATTTAACTCATTCTTGTCACTTAACACTCTTTTGACCGTTTCACTATGTTCGTTTGCACTTGTCACTTCTATCTTCCTTTTCACTTGGCCCTTAACTAATTATTGACCGTAGATTAGTCTGTACTCACTGTATTTTTTTTACACTATAGTTGTTTGCACTATGAGGGTTTATTGTTGGTTATGGTTTTATCGTTTTACGTTTACTCTCCGACTCTGCTACATCGACTTACTCACTCGACGGCTGGGCCGTGTTTACGGTATATTTATTTTAGACAAAATTAGCTTGACAATGACAGAAAATTAACCTTAATTATTTATATCAGTCACTTGGTGGGGCTTTGATGAGCATAGTACCTAGATATATTATCTAGGGTCCCAACCCTAAAAATATTGACCTACAAACAAATTGCCCAAAGATTGACCAATTATTGGATGTTGCTCAATTAAATTAAGCAAATTTAATTATTAATTGATACCTACCATTGGTCAATGTTTGCAGGGCCGGATTACCCTATAGGCTAGGGCCCAAGGCTTGCGGGGCCCCCCAAACAAAAAAGTAAAAGGTTTTGTTTTTGTTTTGTTTATTCATTATTATAACAGTTGTTGAATGAAATTTTTACAATTTAATTTTTAAATTCAGCGCTCTGGTTAATTTTCCTTTGTAAACAAGCACATAAAGTTTATGGTTGTATGTATTGTTAAAATGAGTAACATTCCAAGTGGTACAAAAAGATAACAATTTCTAAAGAAAAGAACATACAACCTATAGAAAATTTGCCAAAAAATACCTTTTTTAAAAAACTAAATGATAATAGTTTGTCATCGCAGACGTCTGATTTTCCACATGATAATTTAAATTAGGAGAATCTTTACGAACAATTTTGAAAGGTCTTTATTATACCTATATAGACAGAGCTGGGCACGAGTACTAAAAAAAGTATTCGTAAAATTTTAAGTACGAATA